ATCGAGCAGCGCACCTCGCCGTTCACCCCCGAGTCCCGATCCCGCACTTGCAGTAGGGCCACAACAGATCCTGGCTGGGTGTCCTCCGGTATGTCCTTCAGCTTTGATGATACTGTCAGTTCGGGGACATTGTCGTTCACATCTGTCACGGTGATTGTGACTTTTGCAGTGTCGAAAAGAGCTCCACTGTCATGTGCCTGCACCTCCAGTTCATACAAATCGTCTTCCTCAAAATCGAGGATCATCGACAGTTTGAGCGCTCCAGTTTCAGTATCCATATGGAAAATATCTGATTCCATGTCTGTCACTTTCTTCATAGAATACTTCACTTGCCCGTATAAGCCGTCGTCATCGTCGGTGGCCGTGACGGTGAGGAGGACAGAGCCCACAGGCACGTCCTCGGGCACACGCACCGTGTACTCCGCCTGGCTGAACACGGGCGCGTTGTCGTTCGCGTCCAGCACCGTCACGCGGATCCGAGCCGTGCCCGTCCGTGCCGGATCGCCGCCGTCGCTCGCCCTCAGCACCAGCTCGTGAAACGCCGCCTCCTCCCGGTCCAGCGCCTTGGCCAGCACCAGCTCGGGACGCTGATCGCCGCCGGGGCCCGCCTGCACGGCCAGCGAGAAGTGCTCGTCGCCGCTCAGCTCGTAGCTCTGCAGGGAATTACGGCCCGTATCGGGGTCATGTGCCCTGGGAAGTGGAAATCTCGCCCCCGAGGCTATAATCTCGCTAATTCTCAGCTCTGTTTCTGCCTCTCTGAAGCTCGGAGTATTGTCGTTAATGTCTGTGATTTCTACTTCGATTCCGTAAACCTGCATCTGTCCCTCCACTATCAGCTCACAGCGCAGCACGCATTTCTCCACCAGCCGGCACAGCTGCTCTCTGTCGATCCTCGCAGCTGTCACTAAATGTCCCGTCTTTCCGTGCAGAGAAAAGTATTGTGTCCTACCTCTTTCTGTGATGTGGACGCCGCGGTCTCGGATCTCCGGCAGCTGCAGCCCCAGGTCCTTGGCCACGTCGCCCACGAACGAGCCCTTGGGCATCTCCTCGGGCACCGAGTAGCGCAGCTGCCCCCACGCCGCCTGCCACGCCGCCAGCAGGACGGCGCAGAGCAGAGCTCGCTGCCGCCGGCCCCGGCGCCTCCCCGCCGCGCACATCTCCGCCGCACAACCCCCGCACCGCAAACACTGTCGCTGCTGTCGCCGGTCACTCCGCTGATCTCTCTACCGCTCTGCTTTCCACTCGCTTCTTCCGCAGCACCGATCCGCACCACGGGGACTATCGGAGACTGGTAGCCGAGCCTCATAGGGAACGAGCGATCGAGCGGGTCGGCAGCGGGCGGGGCTGCAGCGCTCCGAGCTTCCTCCCGCTCCTCTCGGTCAACAGCGGCGCCCGCAGCCTCCGCCCGGCACTGCAGGCACCGAGCGCTGCCGAGCAGCGGGCAGACGCTCCTTCCCACGGGCGGCAAGGAGACATTCGCTGCACACACCTCCTGCTTTTGTCTAACCGATCTCCTCTTTTATGCTCTTACAAATCACGACCGTGAGGAAAGCCGAGGTCTCTCGTGAGCGAGACCCTTTAAACTCACAAGAAAATATAATTTGCTATCGGCGATATAGGTAAAGCAAATATCTTATTTTATCTTATTAGTCTGAAAACGAGTTGAAGCCGTGCTTCTTGTGTGACTGGTAGGACAACAGCAAAACAAATGAGGCTCACAAATACGCAGAGCGATGATCAAACACACAACTCTGCCCGCAGGAGTAGCGGAGATATCAGGCTCATTAATCTGATGGCAGGAACTTTCCTTCCTACAGGAGACAGTCTAAATTAACTACTACACTCTGAGTGACTAAGAAGAGGCGTTTAAAGTCGGAAGAGGGTGGGGTCTAACACATCCCCTTACAACTGCCATGAAGTTTGATTGCTCAGGCACCTGCCAGGATGTCTGCCTATAAGACATTAATGGGAACAGAGGACAGGAGGAGAACCCCTGGACACTCAAAGATCATTATCTCCCACTCCCCGATTCAAGACTGTAGGTCCCTGGAGCACTTTTCGCTGACTACAACTAACTAGTTAGTACTACAACTAACACGGGATCAGGAAATATCTGCAGTGAACCTTGCCAGAATAATCTAAATTAATCCACACTTACATTTAATAAGTCGTTCTGTAGCAAAAAGAAAGGGCTTTCATTTTCTCTGAACTCAAGATGCAAGGAACTGGAGCTTGTTAGTCAAGTGTTAGTCCTTTGTTATTCACTTTGGCAAGCCATATTTTCAGCAAAATACTGTAGAATTGTAGGAGACGAGCTGGATGCCTTAAACACTTGAGACCATGGATAATTATACAAATGGACTTGATTTAAGTACTTAAATAGTTATTTTGGCAGATCCCTTTGACATTTGATAGAAGCGTTCCCGATCTCACCGGTCTATCCTTGTAAAAACCAATGTAAGAACTATTAAGAATAAACGGAGGACAATTTAAATAAGGTACAAAATATCCTCTCTTTCTGTAAAAAGCAGAGGGAAAAAAACCTATTTTTTTTTCCTTGATACTTTCAACACTTTCATTTGCGAATGAAAGAAAGATCAGGAATGTAAAAAAAAGATTGAAGTACCACACAGGATGGAAAAACACTGTTAACAACAGCTAAATGCTCCTGCGACTATTCCCACTCCAGTCATTTCCATAGCAGAATTCCCACTGAATTAACGACATTCTAGTCTTTCACCACTGGTGGATTGCCTGACACTCTCCATTCACTGAATCCCACTCTCAAATTGCCTTTAAGAACATAAAAATGAAAAGGAAGAATTAGCAAAAGGGTTTGTATCCTGCCATCCACCAGCATCCATGAGTGCAGTATATAGAAAAAAAAATCGATTAGGAAAGAAAAATCCCCAGCATCAAGTACCAATTTTTCCCAAATCCGTCATACAGTTTTGGCACATTTTCCTCTCCAGAGTAAGGATTCTCCTTTACCGTTACTACTAATACAAATTGAATGCAGCCTGAAAGTTCTAGACAACAACTCCCATTAAAATATGAAACAGATACCATCGAAAAACCAATAATTGACGCCAGTAAATGCTTATTCTTCAAGGGAGGAGGGGGCCAGATTCATCATCCAGTCACGCTGAGACATAGCAGCAAACCTCGCTCATATAATGCGGGGGAAATAAGAGGAAAAAAAGACAACGCTTCGAAACGGCTCAAGGAGAACAACGGCAACATGCAGATTTACAGACCTGCGGTGCATCGGGATTGGCGGGCGGCTTTCCCACGACGACGTCGCTGCTCGGTTTGGGCTTCTCGCAGGAATCGCCGCCCAGCAGCTCCTCCGCCGACAGGATGGGCACCGGCGGCGGCGGCGGCCAAGCGGCCTCGGGCACGGCGCGGGCCGGCGCCGGCACGCACAGGTTGTAGGAGTAGGGCAAGGTGCCCTCGCAGAAGTCGGCCGGGAAGGCGGCGCCGGCCAGCGAGAAGCGCTGCGCGCCCAGGCAGCGCAGCACGGCGGGCGGCCCGGCCCGGCGCAGCCGCGCCAGCACGGCCAGCGCCACGCTCAGCACCAAGAGCGCCGACAGCAGCGCCAGCGCCAGCACCAGGTAGAACTGCAGCTCGGCCGCCGCCGCCGCCGCCGCCTCGGCGCCCGCCGGCCGCTCGCTCAGCTCCGGCAGCGCCTCCTGCAAGCTCTCGGCCAGCACCACGTGCAGCGTGGCCGTGGCCGAGAGCGCCGGCTGCCCGTGGTCCTTCACCACGGCCACCACGCGCTGCTTGGCCGCGTCCCGCTCGGACACGGCGCGCGCCGTGCGCACCTCGCCGCTGTGCAGCCCCACGCGGAACAGCGCCGGCTCCGACGCCGGCACCAGCTCGTAGGACAGCCACGCGTTGCGCCCCGCGTCCGCGTCCACCGCCACCACCTTGGCCACCAGGTACCCGGCCTCGGCCGAACGCGGAACCACCTCGAAAGGAGTCGCCGCCGCTCCCGGAGCCTCTCCCGCCGCCGCCGCGGCTCCGCCTCCCGCCGCTGCCGGCCACAGCACCCGGGGCGCGTTGTCGTTGCGGTCCAGCACGAAGACGCGCACCGTGGCCGTGGAGCTGCGCGCCGGCGAGCCGCCGTCCTGCGCCCGCACGGCCACCGTGAACTCGCGCAGCTGCTCGTAGTCCAGGGAGCGCTGCGCGTACAGCGCGCCGCTCCGCGCCTCCACCGACACGAGCGGCGCCGCGCCCGCCGCGCCCGCGCTGCCGCCCGCCAGCCAGTAGCTCACGCGCCCGTTGGCGCCCGCGTCCGCGTCCCGCGCCTGCACGCGCAGCACCAGCGCGCCCGCCGCGTTGTTCTCCGCCACGTACGCGCTGTACGCCGCCTCCTCGAACACCGGCGCGTTGTCGTTCACGTCCGACACCTCCAGCACCAGCTCCGTGCTGCTCCGCAGCGCCGGCCTGCCCCGGTCCCGGGCCACCACCGTCACGCGGTGCTCGGACGCCTGCTCGCGGTCCAGCGCGCTCGCCGTCACCACCTTGTACGAGCCGCCCGACGACGCCACGATCGACAGCGGCGCCTCTCCCGACAGCTCGCACGACACCTGACCGTTCTCGCCCGAGTCTCTGTCCCGCGCTTTTAGCAGGGCAACCACAGTGCCCACCGGAGCGTCCTCGGGCACCGGGCTGGACACCGAGAGTAACGTGATCTCGGGCGCGTTGTCATTCACATCCAGCACCTCCACCTCCACCTTGCAGTGCGCCACCAAACCGCCTCCATCCTTCGCCTCCAGAGCCAAGCTATACGCTCGCGTGTCCTCAAAGTCCAAAGCTTCCTGCAGCGTGATAAACCCACTCTCTGCATCTACCACGAATTTCTGAAGCGCCTTGGTAGGCATTTTACCGAAGCCGTAGGTGATGTGGGCGTTGGTGCCGGCATCGGCATCTGAGGCTGACAGGTTCAGTACTGCCGAACCCGGCAGTGTGTTTTCGGGCAGGCTCACGCGGTACCTGTCCTGTTCGAATACGGGTGCATTGTCGTTGGCGTCCGTGACGTTGACCCGAATCTGGACAGATCCGGATCTCACAGGGTCCCCGGCATCAACCGCTGTCAGCACCAGGTCAATGGAGCTCTGCTTCTCTCGGTCCAAGGCTCTCTCCAGAACTAATTCCAGTTTGCTTCCGTCCGGGCTGTCCTTTATGGCGAGAGAGAAGGACGGGTTGCTGACGAGCTGGTAAGTCAGCAGCGAATTACTGCCCACGTCTGGATCATGGGCCATCTCCAGCGGAAATCGAGCACCAGGAGGGATTAATTCACCGATCTCGAGGTCCAGAACAGCTTTGCTGAAGGCCGGGGAATTGTCATTCACATCCTCGATAACCACCTGGACGTGGAAAACGTTCAGCGGGTTGTGCACCAGCGCCTCGAAGCTGACCGAGCAGGTCGCCGACTCGCCGCACATCTCCTCCCGGTCCAGCCTCTCATTCACGTACAGGTTCCCGTTCTCCTCGTTCACCGTGAAGTATTGCTTCTCCTCGCTCAGCCGCAGCTTGCGCGCCGGCAGCTCGTCCGCGCTGAGCCCCAGGTCCCGCGCCAGCGGCCCCACGAGCGAGCCTCTGCCCAGCTCCTCGGGGATGGCGTAGCGGACCCGCTCGGCCGCCGCCCGGCCCCACACGCACAGCAGCACCGCGGCCAGCAGCGCTCGCCCGCCGCCCGGCCCGCGCCTCTGCCGCCGCCTCACCGCCATTCTCTGCCCGCAGCGCTCGCCGCGCTCCTGCCTCCTGCCGCTGCCCTGCCTCCCTTCCAGCCGCTCTCGCCGGCGACAACAGAGACCGCTCAAACGCAGCGAGCTCGGCGCGCCGCCTCTCTCCGCCTCTCTCCGCCGCCGCCGCTGCTGCTGCTGCTGCTGGCGGTGCCGCTGCCGCTGTGGCCGGCGCCGGGCGAGCGAGCAGCCTGCGGGGGCAGGACGCTGCGGCGGCGGCGGCGGCGGCTCCAGCGCCGCTCGGCGGCGGCCAACAGCGACACCCGGAGGCGCCGCCGCGCCACTGCAGCCGCCGGATGGCCGCGCTCAAGGGGGCCCGGCTTTGGGCGGGGCTCAGCGGCTGCACCGGCCCCGGGGTCTCTCCCGACCGCAAACACAGAGCAGGAGCACTTGCTTAAAGACAAGCAGGAAACCCTATGATTAGAGC